GCTTCCTATCTCTCTGTGACACTTGCCCCAGGGACAAGGAGGGGAGGCTACATGTAGTTCTGTCTCACAGCCCCTGCTACAGTCCCGTCAACCACCCACATGTGGGTGGAAGTTTTCAAGATGGCCCCAATCCCAGCCATCCTTGCGCTGCAACCACATGACAGACCCTGAATGAGTCTCTTAACTGAGCCCAGTCATTTCCCAGAACTGTAAGAGATAATAATATAAGGAATAAAATAAGGGTTAAATTTTAAACCACTAAGTTTTGATATGATTTCTTATATAGTAACTGATAAACAAAAATGGTATTTTTGTGTAAAATCCAATTACGGCATTGACAACTAATATATAAATTTAAACACAAAACAAAACACTGTTCTGGCCAAATACTACACATCTGTAGGCAGCCAGTTTCTAACTTTTGTTTGCTCTAGCAATTCCCAAACTCTTGGAGTACCTTACTAACACCCTGCTCTTTCAAACCTTCACGGCTTTGTAACATTGCTCCCTCAACACAAGCATTTCAGTTGCCTAGTTTTTCTCATCATAAAAACTTGCTAACTGTCGTTGAAGAAATGAACAGGTAACCAGATAATCAAGGACTGATTATACTCAGGTTGATTTCCATCTTCCTTCATTTTCCCTTGAATCTTTATCATAAACCCTCTTCAACTAAGGTAAGCTGATCTGATTCCATCCTCGCAACACAATGGCTTTGACCTTTTCTAAATCTTTATTCTCCAGCATGCCTCTCTTGAGGCTGGGAGGTTAGTGACCTACTTTCTGTTTCTTTGGATTGCATCCTTACTCTCTTCCTTCATCTTTCCTCTGGTAGCTCTGTCGTTTATCCACTTTTCTCTTTGATGGCTTTCAATCATTCAAGGTAGTTTTTGAAGCAGCAGTAGTTCACCAGATACTGCACTCTGCCCTGCCTGAGGGTACAGAGGTGCAGACAGCACAGATGTCACTGAAGCACAATGGTCTTAGAACACCTTCCAGAAAATGAGAACACCCCTCATTTAATACTAAAACCTATTGTAATCCAGAGATGATCTGTAGATATACAGATCTGCTACAGTCCAGATCCAATCATTCCTTATTTTTCACAAATAATAAATCGAAAAGAAAATTCTTTTTACAGTAGGAAATTCTTGGCTGCCTGGCTTTTTCTTCATCCCAGCAAGAGCCATTCAACTTGTTCTTTTCCTCTTAAAAAAATCTTGCAACACCTGGGTGCGGTGGCTCACCCCTGTAATCCCAGCACTTTGGGAGGCTGAAGTGGCTAGATTACCTGAGGTTAGGAGTTCAAGACCAGCCTGGCCAACATGGCAAAACCCCGTCTCTACTAAAAATGTATAAAAATTAGCCAGGCTTGGTGGCAGGCGCCTGTAGTCCCAGCTACTTGGGAGGCTGAGGCAGGAGAATTGCTTGAACCCAGGAGGCAGAGGTTTCAGTGAGCCGAGATCGTGCCACTGCACTCCAGCCTGAGCGACAGAGCAAAACTCCATCTCAAAAAAATGATAAAAAATAAAAAAATCTTGCAACTAAAATTGTAGCTAAATGTCTCCTAAACATTTCCCCTGCCTCTACCTCTCCACCACTGCAGTTCTTCCTACACAACATTGATAGGTTAATCTTTTTTAAATGCCATCTAAACCTATCATCAGAGACTCTCCGCATACATTAGAAGCTCCAAATGCCACGGACTAGAATTCAAAGGCATCTGAGGTCTAGCCCGGACGTATTTCTTCAACCTCCTCTCCTGTAACACCCACCCCATGATCCCTGAGCTCCAGGCAAATACATCCCCTCACAGTCTCTCAAAGTCAGAATGTCTCTCCCAGCTAAGTGACTTTCACCCACTCCACCAGGTCACGATTTATTCCTCCTACTGGCTTAAGAAGCCCCTCAAACTTCTCCTTTCAAGATTCCTTTTCCTATGGCCCAGGATCTTAGAAACAGACCCTTCTCTGAACCAGAAGTCTGTAGATAATACAGACTTCTACAAATTCAGATACTCATCCTTACATTCTCATCACTCTACACGTAGGTCCTGCATCTCAAGGGAGACTATAAGTCTTTCAAAGGCAAAAGTCACGTTTTGTATTAACTTGATATCCCCAGGGCCAAGCATGATATCCAATGGTAAATGCTCAATAAATGTCTGACAAATCATACTTGATTGTATGAGTAGAAACTGTTTGCTTTGGTTATTGATTAGACACAACCAAACTGACAGTCAAACACCTCACTTTGGTCAGTGACCTTGACTTTCCTGACCCTGTAAAAACATGTAAAACTCAGCAGGATTTACTGGTCACTCTGTAATTAAATAACTGGTCAGTGGTGATACACTGTAAACACTACCTAAAAAGAAGCAAAGCCCAAAACAAACGATGCTTACCTCTAAATCACACTTGATGCCCCAGGGAAGGCACCTTAACGGCTTCTGAAGAATAGGCCAGAGCCCTGAAAAAAGGGAAGCAAAATGATTTTTTTTTTTTATCCCACAGAACCCTGAAATTAGCGTCCATACTGAAACAACCTGAGAGGAGCAGATCAACAAGTGCCTGACTTCAGACAGGTGAAAAGGCTAAACTGAAAAACAGGCCAGTTTGTATAATTGAAAAAGCATGTCAGCTCAGAAGGGCAGGGCTCACCGATGCTGAGTGGCATTGAAGGGGAAAGGGGTGTAACCTATAAGCAAATAGAGTCACGTTGCCAAACCTATATCCAATTAATGTAAAAATTAAGAGATAATAAGTGCCTTAGATTCTGCTTAGATTTTAAGTGGTGCTTAACAAGACTATGAAAATGGAAAAACCTGACCAAGAATAGGCAAGTTGAAGTTATTCAGGAGGCTAAAGTAGGAGGATGGCTTGAGCCTGAGAAGTTAAGGCTGTAGTGAGCTGTGATCATGCCACTGTACTCCATCCTGGAAAACAGAGCAAGACACTGTTGCCGGAAGAAAAAAAAAAAAAAAAGGCAAGTTGAGGCAAAGTTTTCCAGATTATTAAAAAGACGAATAGAGTGAATAATGTTTTATCATTGTTTGCAACCTAACATATATATTATGACAAGACAACACATTATGACTTTTACTGAAATGTTATTGTTCAAACACATTTAAGCATTTCCATTGAAGACTCCTCATTTCAAAGTTGATTAAGAGTGAGGTCAAAATTAGCCAAGCATAGCGGCATGCACCTGTCCCAGCTACTTGGGAGGCTGAGGCACAAGAATCTCTTGAACCTGGGAGGAGGAGGTTGCAATGAGCTGAGATTGTGCCACTGCACTCCAGCCTGGGTGACAGAGCAAAATTCTGTCTCAAAAAAAAAAAAAAAAGAAAAAGAGACCGGGCGCGGTGGCTCACACCTGTAATCCCAGCACTTTGGGAGGCCGAGGAGGGCGGATCACGAGGTCAGGAGATGGAGACCATCCTGGCTAACATAGTGAAACCCCATCTCTACCAAAAATACAAAATATTAGCCAAGCATTGCGGCGGGCGCCTGTAGTCCCAGCTACTCGGGAGGCTGAGGCAGGAGAATGGAGTGAACCCAGGAGGCGAAGATTGCAGTGAGTCAAGATTGCGCCACTGCACTCCAGCCTGGGCAACAGAGCGGGACTCTGTCTCAAAAAAAAAAAAAAAAAAAAGAGTGAGGTCAGGAAACACTGGGTGACTGTCAGGCACACAGGCCTCCTGACCTGCAGGTCAGCAGGTCTCCACTTACAGGTACTGCCCCTATCTCAAAAAGAATAGGATCTCCAGAAAGAAAGGGTCCAAAGATAAAGTTTCTGCATTAAATGAACTTTATAAATGGAAAATACTCACATAATGTCATATACATTTGTGGTTATTAAGAAAATTGACTTCTTGGATTTGAGTTGACTTCCTGGACCAAGGATGACAAACGGTTCTTCGCAGGAGCCAATCTGATCAATTGTCTGAAGATTCCAAAGCTGTCTCTGGGTCTGGTAGGAAAAAGTGATGCAATCGATTAGTAAGTCTGTCATGGGCCAGGAGAATCATGTGTTGGGAGCAGGCATGCCATATATTTACCATTCCTGATTTAGACACTTAGATGTTGAATGTATTGTGGATTTTCTCTGGCTCTGTCTGGTACCTGGATTCCAATCTCTCCACATAAAAATAGCTACTTGCACAAGTCAACCATTCCGTAGGAGAAATAAATAATAGGGGAGCTGAGAGCTCCCTTGCTTCAGGTTGAACCATCTAATTGAAAGGCTGAATCAGTGTCTTAATTATTTGCTTTGTAAATATATCTCAAGAAGAAAAAAAATCATAGAATATAAAGATTCCAATTTCCCTTGAAGGAAATCACATTGTTCATCTTGGAGGTGGTGGGCATTCCACAGTGAAAATAGTGAGCATGTCATTTATAATCCACTGTACATGAGATAGTATAACATTTTTTAAATATTAGCTGATTTATTTCTCTCATTATTTACCCCCTTTCCCTTTCTTACCTCTCTCCCAACTCCCACTTCAAAGACAGAATACATTATGGGTTCACTTTTCAGTGGAAGGATTTCACAAGACAATAACACTGGAATTGTTAGCAGTAGCGAATTCATTCGGGTCTACAGCAACCTCAATTCTTGCCTCCTCAGAAGAATTTGAAAAAGGGCACAAGACAGAGTGAGAGACCAAGGCAAGCTTTAGAGCAGGAGTGAAAGTTTGTTAAAAAGTGTAGGGCAGGAATGAAAGGATGTAACGTACACTTGAAAGAGGGCCAAGCGGGCAACTTGAGAGAGTCAAGTGCACTGTTTGACCTTTGACTTAGGGTTTTATAAGCTGGCATGCTTCCCGGTGCAGTGAGGGGAGTGGTGCGAGAGGTTTGCGTCTCTTCTCCCCTGATCTTTCCCTTGGGATGGGCTGTCTGCATGTGCAGTAGCCTGCCAGCGCTTGGGAGGGGCGGCACACTTAGTGTGTTTACTGAAGTTGTATGCATACTCACTTGAGGCATTCTTTCCTTACCAGTCCAGTGTTCCAGTAAAGTCACATATCAGTTAACCTCCACCATTTCGCCTCTTAGTCTGCATGCTTGAGTCCACTCATCCAACTCCTGAGATCTTATCGGGAAGTTGATCACCAGCTCCAGGATTTTTCTATCTACTGGGAGACTGACAGTCCCTGGTGCCAGCTGTAACCAATTATTTTAGAAAGACAGCTTAACAATGCCTAACCATCACCTGATGGTCAGCTGACATTCTGGAGTGGGGCAAGGAGGGAGCCTCTCCTGCCCCACTCATGTCTACCTAGCTACCTACTGTAACAAAATCACCTGCCAGACACTTGCATTTCAGTATCTAAAAGCTTAAACAGAGTTTGCAAGCAAGCAATTCTCAGGATATGTATAGCCCAAAGTCATGTTTTGTGGCCCTGCAGAGCACAGTAAAAATTTCTGAATTATTTGCCAATGTTCCAAAATCAGGAGAGTTCACATGAACTTCCACATTTCCACCCTCCCTTTTATTTTAAAAGCAAAACTGTCAACGCTAATCCGGTTTTCCTTAGGGCAACTCTTAGCTCAAGCTGAGTAACAACTTCTCCCTTTAAAAACCAATACACTGGATCTGGGCACGATGGCTTGTGGCTCTAATCCCATCTACTTTGGGAGGCTGAGGCAAGAGGATTGCTTGAGCCCAGGAGTTCAAGACCAGCCTTGGCAACACAGAGTGATTCCATCTCCAAGAAACAACAAAAAACTATACATCAAGTAAAAAGAAAACAAAAAGCAACAACCCTCTCCTTTTCATCTTGATCCCCATCCACCTGCTTCACTGATTACTTACCTCTCTGGCCTCTATGGGTTTGGGTGTGGGAATTTGCACCAGAAGGCCTAGACCCTGGAAGGGGATTGTGTCAGCTGCCATGGAGGCAACACCTTCATGAGAGTAAGTACCTTTGAGGGGAAAATCAAGTTCAAGGGATTAGAAATTAGAACAAAAATTCACGCAATAGGAACAAGGAAAATAACATCGTAGAGTCTAGAATAAATACTATTTCTCGGATGCACATGGTGGCTTAAGCCTATAACTCCAGCACTTTAGGAGGCTGAGATGGCAGGATCATGTGAGCTCAGGAGTTTGAGACCAGCCTGGGACTGTGTCTTTGCAAAAAAAAAACTTAGAAAAATTAGCCAGGTATGGGGGTACATGCCTATAGTCCCAGCTACTCAGGAGGCTGAGGTAGGAGGATTACTTGAGCCTTGGGTGTTGAGGCTACAGTAAGTCATGATGGCACCATTGCCTTCTTTCCTGGGTGACAGAGTGAGATCCTATCTCAAGAAAAAAAAAGAAAAAAGAAAAAAAAAAACTCTCCCATGCAGGGAGTCAGGAGGAAGACAGCTGGACCTGCTGGGGCTCCATAGTGAGAAATGACCACCAAGGCTGTGCTCATGATACATCATGTGATCCAAGAAGCACCAGAGGATTGGCTCACTGTCCTTTCCTTTGTCTTCCTTTGTCTTAGCTGGGATTTTGGCGTGCACTACCACGCCTGGATAATTTTTGTATTTTTAGTAGAGACAGGATTTTGCCATGTTGGCCAGACTGGTCTTGAACTCCTGGCCTCAAGTGATCTGCCTGTCTTTGCCTCCCAAAGTGCTGGGATTATACATGTGAGCTACTGCGCCTGGCCAGAATAGCTGGTTTTTAACAGCTGCCAGCACCTCATGTTACCAACACCCAGAGAGAAGACTATGCTTGGTCTCTGAACAACTTAACCCAAATAGATAGCCCCCACCTCACAAAATCCAGAAATACCCTACCCCCCACTTAAAAAAGACTGAATCCTGAATACTTATAAATTAATGTGGAGAGGAGGAAAAGAAAGTGTTGTACCTCTGCATGTCATAAACCAAGCCAGTTTGAGAGTATTTAAGCTAGGACAATGGCTCACTTCTTCTAGTTTCTTCTTTGTTATCCACTCCACATCACTTATTTGGCATTAAGCCTATCAAACAGTGCCTGGTAGCATTTATTTGTTGGTTTATTCTTTAGGCATTTATTGTACTTCTATTAAGTGACAGGCACCATTCATGGCTCTGAAAATACAAAGATGTATAATGAGTTGACCCTGTCATCTCAGGCTTAGAGTTACCTGGAGAGGTGGCTGTAACTATGCATTATAATGACAGTATCAGGTAAGAATAATTTGGCAAACAATTTAAAGGGCATTTCAAAAAGTCCAACATTCTTTCATGGTAAAACCAGTCAGAAAACTAAGAATAGAAGGGAACTTCCTCAACCAGCTAAAGGGCATCTACAAAAATCCACAACTAATATCTTGCTGAGTGGTAAAAGACTGGATGCATGCCGGGCGCGGTGGCTCAAGCCTGTAATCCCAGCACTTTGGGAGGCCGAGACGGGCGGATCACAAGGTCAGGAGATCGAGACCATCCTGGCAACCCGGTGAAACCCCTTCTCTACTAAAAAATACAAAAAACTAGCCGGGCGTAGTGGTGCGCACTTGTAGTCCCAGCTACTCAGGAGGCTGAGGCGGGAGAATCACTTGAGCCTGGAGGCAAAGGTTGCAGTGAGCCAAGATCCAGCCACTGCACTTCTGCCTGGGGCACAGAGCGAGACTCCATCTCAAAAAAAAAAAAAAAAAAAAAAAAAAAAAGACTGGATGCTTTCCCCTAAGATCAGGAACAAGACAAGGATGTTCGTTCTTGACACTTCTATTCAACATTATACTGGAGGTACTAGCCAGAGCAAGTAGGCAAGAAAAAGAAATAAAAGGCTTCCAGATTGGAGAGGAAGCAGTAAAATTGTTTCTATTCACAGATGACCTGATCTTATATATAGAAAATCCTAAGAAATCCACCAAAAAACATTAGAGCTAATGAACAAGTTCAACAGTTTCAAGATACAAGATCAGTATACAAACACCAGTTGAATTTCTATACACTTGCAATAACTAATCCAAAAATGAAATTAACAAAACAATTCCATTTATAATAGCATCAGAAAGAATAAAATATTAATAGTAATTTTTTTAAAAAAGGTAAACAATTATACTCTGAAAACTACAAAACATTGTCTAAAGAAATTAAAGATCAATGTAAATACAAAGACATTACTTATTTACAGGGATCAGAAGACTTAATATTGTTAAGATTGGTCACATGACAATATTCTCCAAATTGATCTATAGATATTACATATTCCCTGTTGAAATTCCAGCTGCCTGTTTTGCAGAAATGGGCAAACTCATCCTAAAATTCATATACAAATGCAAGTAACCCAGAAGAGCCAAAATAGTTTTGAAAAAGAAAAACAAAGCCGGAGGACTTACACTTCCCATTTCCAAAACTTACTGCAAAGGTACAGTAATCAAGATAGTGTGATGCTGGCATACAGCTAGATATATAAATCAGTGGAATAGAATCAAGAGTCCAGAAGTAAGTCCTTACATTTCAGGGCAATTGATTTTTTACAAAAGTGTCAACACAATTAAATGGGGAAAGAATAATCTTTTCCACAAATGATGTTGAAACAATTGGAAATCCACAGGCAAAAGAAAGAATTTGGATTCATCATACCATATACAAAAATTAACTTAAATTTTATCATAGATCTAAATTTAAGAGCTAAAACTTTTAGAAGAAAGCATAGGAGTAAGTCATTATGACTTTGGATTAGACAATGGTTTCTTAAAAATAACACCAAAAGCACAAACAACAAAAGAAATAAAGATAAATTGGATTTTATTAAAATCAAAAACTTTTGTGCTTCAAAGTACACCATCAAGAAAGTTGAAGTGCAACATATGTAATGGGAAAATATTTGCAAATTATATATCTGATAAGGAACTTGTATCCATAATGCATAAAGAAATCTTACAATAAAAAGACAACATAATTTGAAAATGAACAAAAGACTAGAATAGACATTTTTCCAGAAAGATGTGCAAGTGGCCTGTGTCTTAGTCCATTTGTGCTGCTATAACAAATTACCTGAGATTGGGTAATTTACAAAGAACAAAAATTTATTTCTCACAGTTGTGGAGGCTGAAAGTCCAAGATCAAGGCACTGGCAGTTTCAGTGTCCAAGGGCCTGGTCTCTGTCTCTTGTTGGGGTACCCTCCAGAGGGGATGAACACTGCATTCTCACATGGTGGAAGGCAGAAGGGCGAAAGGGTCTAGCTAGTTCCCTCCAGCCTTTTTATAAGATCACCAGTCCCATTTACAAGGGCTCTACCCTCAGGACTTAATCACTCCTAAAGGCCCTTTTCATGCCATCATGTTAGGGTTTAATTTCCAATATATGAATTTTGAAGGGACACATACATTCAAATCATAGTAGCCAGTAAGCACATGAAAATATGCTCAACATCATTAGCCATCAGTAAAATGCAAATCAAAACCACAATGAAATATCACTTCACATCCACTATGATGACTAAAAGAAAGATAGACAGCAAGAGTTGAGGATATGGAGAAACTGAAAGCCTTATACATAGCTGGTGGGAATGGCTGGTGGTGCCACTGCTTTGGAAAATACTTTGGCAGCTCCTTAAAATGTTAAACATCAAGTTATTATATGGGCCAGACACTGTAACTTGTGCCTGTAATCCCAGTTATTCAAGAGTAGGGCAGAAGGATCACTTGAGGCCACAGGAGTTTGAGACCAGTTTGGGCAACATAGTGAGACTCTGTCTCTTTAAAAAAAAAAAAAAAAAAAGTGCCGTGTGACCTGGCTATTCCACACCTAGACATATACCTAAGAGAAATGAAAACATATGTTCACACAAAAATGTGTACATGAATGTTCATAGCAGCATTATTTATAATGGGCAAAAAATAAAAACAACCCAAATGTCCATCAACTGACAAAGGGTATGTCTATGCAATTAAATATTATTCAGCCAGAAAAAGAATAAAATGCCGATTACATAATACAACATAGATGCATTTTCAAAATATGCTATATGAAAAAAGTCAGTCACAAAGGACCATATATTATATAATATCATTTATATAAAATGTCTAAAATAGACACATCTGTAGACAGAAAACAGATTACTTGTTGCCAGGGGGTGGGGGGAGGGAGAATGGGGAAGTGATTGTTAATGGATATGGGGTTTCTTTTGAGGTAGTAGGAACATTATGAAATTAAATAGTGATGGTTACACAGTTCTAATACTACACTAAAAAACAAATTAACAATTTAAGAGAGTGAATTTTGTGATACGTTAATTACATCTCAATAAAATTTTTTTTTTTTGAGGTTTTTTGTTTTTTTTTTTTGAGACGGAGTTTTCCTGTTGTTGCCGAGGCTGGAGTGCAGTGGCACGATCTCGGCTTGCTGCAACCTCCGCCTCCTGGGTTCAAGTGATTCCCCTGCCTCAGGCTCCCGTGTAGCTGGGATTACAGGTGTCCATCACCACACCCAGCTAATTTTTTGTGTTTTTAGTACAGATAGGGTTTCTCCATGTTGGCCAGCCTGGTCTTGAACTCCTGACCTCAGGTGATCCACCCGCCATGGCCTCCCAAAATGCTAGGATTACAGGCGTGAGCCAAAGTACCCCGCCCAAAAATGTTATTAAAGAATACTTTCACTTGGGAGGCTGAGGCAGGAGAATGGCGTAAACCCGGGAGGCGGAGCTTGTAGTGAGCTGAGATCCGGCCACTGCACTCCAGTCTGGGTGACAGAGCGAGACTCCATCTCAAAATAAGATAGACAGCAAGAGTTATCAGGATAACTCTTGAATGTGGATGTGATGCCTGGAGCTGCAGCTAGGAACAGCTCACGCCTGTTGTCCCAGCACTTTGGGAGGCGGAGGCGGGCGGATCACCTGAGGTCAGGAGTTCAAGACCAGCCTGGCCAGCATGGCGAAACCCCGTCTCTGCTAAAAATACAAAAATTAGCCAGGCGTGGTGGTGGGTGCCTGTAGTCCCAGCTACTTGGGAGGCTGAGGCAGAAGAGTCACTTGAACCCAGGAAGCAGAGGTTGCAGTGGGCAGAAATCATGCCACAACACTCCAGCCTGGGCAACAAAGCAAGGCTCCATCTAAACAAAACAACAACAAAAAAAATACTTTTGAATGCAAGTAACAGAATACTTAAGAGTGGCTTAAACCTTAAAGACGTTTACAGTTTATGTCACAACATGTCTGGAAGCAATTGTTCTCAGTGTTCACTCAAAAAAAATCATCAAAGACCAAGGCACCTCCTACATTTCCACTCTGATGTTCTCACTCATTTGCTTTTGATTCTCATGTTTGTCACCTCATGATCAATCATATGGCTGCCGCAGCTCCAGGCATCACATCCACATTCAAGACAGGATGAAATGGGAAGAGATGATGAAGCAATTTCTCACTTGCATCTTCCTTTTAACAGAAAAGCCAAAGACCCACCAATATGCTTCACCTTTGTTTCGTTGGCCCAAGTGGTCACCTAGGTCTGTAAGGGAGATTGGAAATGAGAGTGTTTCTGGTTTATTCTACCACAAGATTTGAGAAAAGGAAAAAAGCATGTTGCGAATGACTATTGGTTAGCCAAGCAATAGTGTGTTTCCTATGGAGATGTGCCTGCTGAATATCTTCACTTGTGTCAAAGGTGCCTCAAAATCATCATATCCAGCTCTCAGCTCATTATCCCTTCTTCCCCTCTCCACTATTCACCGAACCTGGTCCTTCTCCACCACAGATATGGCTTCCTTGACTCCTTTTTTTCCCTCATCCCTGGACCTAATCAATCTTTATTTTACCTCCTAAGCATGTCATGAATCGTCTACTTCTTTTGATCTCCTTCACGGAGTTTAAGAAACCTTCATCTCCTCCCTCACTGACATGCTTGCCTCCACTCTCTCCTCCCTCCAACATACTCTCTACACAGTGCCCAGACCATAGCTTCGAAATGCAAATTAGGGCCAGCCTTGGTGGCTCACATCTATAATCCCAGTGCTTTGGGAGGCCGAGGCAGGAGAATCGCTTAAATCCAGGGGTTTGAGGCCAGCCTGGGCAACATAAGGAGACTCCATTTCTATAAAAATTTTTTTTTAATTAGCCAGGTATGGTGGCACATGTCTGTAGTACCAGCTAATCAGGAGGCTGAGGTGGGAGGATCACTTGAGCCCAGGAGTTTGAGGCTGCAGAGAGCCATGATAGCACCACTGCACCCCAGCCTAGGCAACAGAGCCAGACTCTGTCTCAAAAAAAAAAAAAGAAAAAAGCTCATCTCACTGTGCTACCTCACATTCTCAGAAGTCTTCTCATTGTAATTGCAATAAGAACTAAGATCCATGAAGTCCCCTCACGGTCTTGCCTGCCTGGCCTCTGCACATGCTGTTCCTTCTAAGCGTTTCCCCTTATCCTCCCCTAGTTAATT